GGTCGCAGATGAAGTTAGGGACTTTCAACGTTCGAACACTTATGCAAGTTAGGGCTCAGGCAACACTCGCTGGCACACTGGAAACGCTTTCCATGGACGTTTGCTGCCTTACTGAGACACGGCTACAGGATTTGAGCATTGTACTGAAACTCGCTTCACCGTCTCCGGATTCTGCAAGCTTGTTCACCCTCCGCCTCTCCGGAGATCTGATGGCAGAGGCCGCTGGTCAATCCGGCTTGTGGATAGCACTAAGTGCACATGCCGAAGCAGTTTTACTCGACTGGATTCCAATCAATAGTCGACTCTGCGCTATCCGTCTAAAGGGATCGGTGAGTGCATCTCGTAATGGGACAAAAAAGCTCTGTCTGTTCGTCATCGTGGCTTATGCACCGATGGACTGCAGTCCCGACACAAAAAGACGAGTTCTACCATCAACTCACCAACCTCCCACACAGTCGACGACACACTGACATCGTGATACTATCCGGCGACTTGAACGCACAAGTAGGTAGGTTAGACACTGACGAAACCTCACTTGATGACCAGCATATTCTCGGTGTTAGGAGAAGTGACAACGGCGACCGTCTTCTGCAAATATGCGCTGAACATGGTCTCTTCCTTTCGAGCACAAATTTTTGCCGACCATGATGCCAACGTGCTACCTGGCGGCCTCCATCGTCTGATCAGCTCTGAGCTCAAATAGACCATATTGCCATCAGTTATCGATGGAAAAATTGCATAACGGACTGCAAATTCATCTGGAGCACATATCACAGCTCTGATCATGCACTTGTGTGAGCGAAATTCTCTCTACCATTTGGCGGAAAACAGCAACGTCACCCAAGAAGTGTCGGTTTGATGAAACTGACCTACCCAAACGTAGTTACCGCCTACCAAGACACGTTAGCTGCTGATCCAGACAGTCTGTCATCCTCGAACGTTGACAACCAATGGACTCGCATCCGTAACGCCATGCATAAGTCCGCCACCACAGCATGTGGCTTCACCAAACGCAGAGTCAATCACTGGGTTACGGCACGTTCTCTCCAACTCCTCGACACTCGTCGAAGAATCCCTCCTGGCAATAAATACAACACAGTTCGCAGGACTCTCAGTGCTGAACTGAAACTGCTCCTAGAAGAGGATTGAGAGATCTGGTGAGCACAACGCGCTTCTGAGATGGAACTAACATCTGCTTCCGGGAATGCTCACAAACTGTTTCGATTAATCCGAGCCAACGGTAACGAAAAACCATGCGTCAGTGAAACCATATGCGAAATTAATGGCGAATGTATCTACAATCTTCAACGTCAGCTTGGGCGTTGGGCGGAGTCCTTTCATCAACAATTCAGTTGGCCATCGACATCATCACATCCATCTCCCGATTTCTGTAGTGCTCCATGGTCTGTGGACATTTCATCGCCTACCGAGGAAGAAGTCTCCCGAGAGATCAGACTTCTGAAATGCCACAAATCGCCCGGTCCAGATGAACTCCCTCCGACCCTTTTCAAAGACGGTGGTGCAACCTTTGTTCCCGAACTAACTCTCTTATTCCAAACCATCTGGAATACCGAATACTGCATTCCATCCGAAAGGAATTTGGTGGACGTCGTACCTGTTTTTAAGAAGCCCCCCCCCCCACGATTGCTCCAATCACCAAGGGATCAGTCTCATCTCTGTTGCATCCAAGCTGTTAACGTCGTTGATCCTTCACAGGCACAGCTGCACAAGAGATCGTCTAATTCGCGAGGAATAAGCTGGATTCCGTCCTGGCCGGAGCTGCGCTGATCACATATTTACGCTACGTCAGATCCTCGAGCAACGTCAAACGTTCAGTAGAGCGACCATCATTGTGTTTTTGGACATACGTACTACGTTTGACTCAGTTGACAGAGCAGCTCTTTAGAGTTGTCTGTTAGGGAGCGGTGTGCCTGAGGAGTATGTAAACCTTCTAAAAGCCGTCTACTGAAACACACCAGGCCGCGTCAAGTTCTATGATCGCATCTCCCCTTCACTTAACATCACAAGCGGAGTTCGACAAGGGTGCCCAGCTTCGCCCTTCCTCTTTAATTTCGCAATGGACAAAATCCTTAGCAGCGCTGTAGAAAACTGCAGCGCTTCCGGTGTGGAGCTTCTTCAAGGTGATCGACTCCGTGACTTGGAATATGCTGACGACATCGTTTTACTCTGTGACTCTTCCCAGGACGCTCAAAACGTCCTGTGTAAGTAAGCATTGTCCGCNTCCGCCACGCAGTTTGGTATGACATTTTATCCATCGAAATGTAAGATGTTACTACAAGAGTGGCAAGAGGCTACACCTGTCCTCACGCTTATGAACGACCAGTTGGAAATCGTCGATCACTTTACTTATCTCGGGAGTTTTTTCAGCTCAGGGGGACTGACGAAAGAAATATCAGCGCGTATCCCCAAGGCTCGAGTGGCCTTCGCTAACCGACGTCCCTTGTGGCGCCGACGCGATCCCAGTCTCTCCTTGAAAGGCCGCGTTTACAATGCAACAGTACGCTCTGTCCTACTCTACGGCTGTGAGAGTTGGCCCCTCCACGCAGAAGACG